AAAATCAGGAAAAATCCCAGTTCAGCTCTTACCGAAGGTAGATGGCCTGGCTGTAGGAAATTATGGCACAGCCCAGGGCTCCTCGGGAAAATTCAGCATTTCCTTTCTGCTTCATGGCTTCACTCTCCTGGGAGGGCAAGAACAGACAATTCAGCCCCACTGGGGTGAAAATGTTTAATTCCACAGGGTAAAAGTAATTATTGAATGGAATAAAGGTAATTATTGAATAAAGGAAATTATTGAATGGAGTAAAGGTGAATAYTGAATGGAGTAAASGTAATTATTGAATAAAKGAAATTATTGAATCAAGGTAATTAYTGAATGGARTAAAGGTGATTATTGCATAAAGGTGATTATTGAATAAAGATAATTAYTGAATGGAGTWAAGGTGATTATTGAATAAATGCAATTATTGAATAAAGGGAATTATGGAATAAAGTTAATCACTGAACGAAATAAAAGTGATTATTAAATGGAGTAAAAGTAATTATTGAATGGAGTAAAGGTGATAAATGAATTGAATAAAGGTGATTACTGAATGGAATAAAGGAAATTATTGAATGGAATAAAGGTAATTATTSAAAAAAGGTAATTATTGAATGGAATAAARGTGGTTAATGGATGGAATTAAGGAAATTATTGAAAAAAACAAAATTATTGAATGAAGTAAAGGTGATTATTGAATAAAGGTCATTATTCATGGCAGCACAATTAACCTTCAAGCTTTTGAAACATTTCTCTTCAACAATTTGGGTATTTTTATATCCCTTGTAACAGAACCCCCAAAACCAACCAAAAAATCAYGAAAACATTCTAAGAGCTTCTCTCACCTCCCTGAAGCTCTCACAGGTCAGAGCTTTCAGCTCCTCCATCAAATCACAATCCTCCAGCGCCACTTTGGTGATGAAACATTTCCCTGGAGGTGAAATTTGGGAAAACAGAGCTGGTCAGGGATTTCCCAAACACTGAAAGTTTCTGCTCTGCCACTAAAACCCCGCTGTGCTCCTGGCTGCCACCCACAACTCAAAAACCGCGACAAACCGGGCACCGGAACAATTAAAAAATCATTATTTCTTATCAAACGAGCCCRAAACGAAAAGAAGAACAGGAATTAATCACAATTCCTGTCAGAAAAGGGGTTTTTCCTCGTTCCTGACCCCGTCCATACTCACACCGAGAAAAAACCACGGCGAGCTGGATGCCCCCGCCGTCCCCCAGCTGCTCCAGGCTCTGCAGGAAGCCAGCACCTCCCACGCACTCCACCCAGATCAGAGCCTCTTCAAGGTGAAAGAAACCCTATTTCAAATGGGAAAAAACAAAAAAAAAAAAAAGAAAAGGTGATTAAAATCCAAGGCAAAGTGATAACAGCACAAACAGCAGCATTGGAGCCCTTGCCCTGCTGTATTACCCCTGCAAAAATCAGGATTTAGCTGTTTTTGGAATGGTCAAAGGCCAAGAAATAAAAATATCTGGAGATCTTAGAGAAATCTCAGAGTCAGAAAATGAAACCCCCAGACATTCAACTCTGGTTTTTGAATGGTCAACAGCCAAGAAATAAAAATATCTGGAGGTCTCAGAGTCACAAAACCAGACCAGACATTCAACTCTGATTTTGAACCATCAACAGACAAGAAATGCAAATATCTGGAGATCCCAGAGTCACAAAATCAAACCAGACATTCAACTCTGGTTTATGAACAGTCAACAGCCAAAAAATGCAAATATCTGCAGATCTCAGAGTCAGAAAATGAAACCAGACATTCAACTCTGGTTTTTGAACAGTCAACGGCCAAAAAATGCAAATATCTGCAGATCTCGGAGTCAGAAAATGAAACCAGACATTCAAGTCTGGTTTTTAAACAATCAAACTGCCAAGAAATAAAAATATTTGGAGATCTCAGAGTCACAAAATGAAACCACGCTTCTAACAGGAGGCATTAGAATGCCAGAATTTGATTTAAAAACTTCTGTGTGATAACTGGAATTACTGAAAAATAATAATAYACCCCCTGGAATTATATTTAGAAACTCCTCCTTGTGACTGTTGTAAAATAATGTAAATAAATCACAGGATTAAGGTAAATATTCCAAAAAAAAAAAAGACACAGAATTGGATTTATTCTGGTTTTCCACCAGCTGCAAGATTGTTTTTTAAATTCATTGCTTTTCTTTTTGCTTTTGCATTGAATGTGCAGCAGGTTCCAGGCAGGAGTGAGTGGGGAAAATAGGATTAAACACTTTTTAAGGAGGAAATTAAGGATTTCACAGCCCAAAGTTTACAGGGTGGATAATGCATCAAGTACAGTTCTKCTGTAAACTGAATTTTGTGATTAAAAAAGACAAATCAGGAGATTCCCCAACCCCGCCCTGCCCCCACCAAGGAATCTTTGTAACAACTCAGAAACTCACGTTTTCTATCTCACTGCCAATCCTCAGGATGGCACTGATAAAATGGGGGATGTTCTGAAACGAGGAAAGAAAACACAAAATGAGTTATTGSGGTTTGATAATCTCAGTTTCTGTCTGCTCAGCTTCAACTCAGAAACACTTCCTGCTCTGCTGTAATTCAGTAACACTCTGGTCCATTCCAGATTTTTGTTGAAAAATAAATGTTGGCGTGGAAAGAGAGAATTCATGGAAATTCAGCCCCTCTGGACATTTCTGCAGCTCCCTAAAATTGGAAGAACCACCCRAGACATCCAACAAAATCTGACTAAATCAGCAAAGCCATCCTGAGATCTGCTGCCCCTCCAAATCCGTTTTACCCTTGGATGTAGAAACTTTTCCATGGAGAAGGAGATGAAGGCTGAGAGGGGGAGAAGAGGGAAGCAGAGGGGAGGAGTGGGAAAGGGTAGCTGGAGCTGAGCAGGGAATGTCAAAGACTGGGAAAAGGAACGTGTAAAACGCAAATTGAAAAACCCAAACTCATAGCTTGGGGTTGGACACAGAACTTCAATTTCAACTCCAACTTGAATTTCAACTTCAACTTCAATTCCAACTTCAACTTCAACTGCAATTCCAACTTCAATTATTTCAACTTCAATTATTTCAACTTCAATTATTTAAACTTCTATTCCAACTTCAATTTCAAATGAAAAATGAAATGTGTTACACCTAAATTTAAAAATCCAGACAGGTAGTTTGGGGTTGGACCAAGCATTTCAAGAAATGAAAAATGAAATGTGTTACACCTAAATTTAAAAATTTAAAAATCAGAATTTCAAGAAATTAAAAAAGGAATGTGTTACACCTAAAACGAAAATCCAAACTCGTAGCCTGGGGTTGGACCAGAATTTCAACTTCAATTTCAACTGAAAAATGAAACGTGTTACACCCAAATTAAACATCCAAACAGGTAGCTTGGGGTTGGAGAGAGTTGCAGCAAATGAAAAATGAATGTATTACACCTGAATTTATAAATTTTTAAAATCAGAATGTCAAGAAATGACAAAAGGAATCTGTTACACTCAAATTGAAAAATTTAAAAATCAGAATGTCAAGAAATGAAAAATGGAATGTGTTACACCCAAATTGAAAAATCCAAACTCGTAGCTTGGGGTTGGATGCAGAATTTCAACTTCAATTTCAAATGAAAAGGGAAATGTGTTACACCTAAATTTAAAAATCCAAACAGGTGGTTTGGGGTTGGACATAGAGTTTCAACAAATGAAAAATGAATGTGTTACACCTAAATTGAAAAATTTAAAAATCAGAATTCCAAGAAATGAAAGAAGGAATGTGTTACAACTAAATTGAAAAACCCAAACACATATTTTTGGGGTTGGACACAAAATTTCCAGAAATGGCAAATGTTTCATTACTTAAATTAAAAAAAACCACAATAAACCTGCTCCCTTCAGCTGCTGAGAATATTCCTTACATCCTCCTCTCCTCTGCTACATTTCTGTTTGAAGTCAGCAAAACCAGCAAATTTAAAATACAATTTTTTATGAGGAAAAAATAAATATTGAAGTCATTAATCCATCACTTCATTAGTGACTGCAAATATTCCCGAAATTGTCCCAAATGGAATAAAGATGCAACTTGGTCGTCCCAAAAGGACTTCACTCCAGCTGAAGGAAATGTCTGATTTCAAATAATCCCCAACTGCTCAAGATAGAGATTGAATTACAATAATATAAATATATTATAAAGATATATTCTGCAATAAATATATAATAAATATATAGTAAATATATAAGATATATAAGAAATATATAAGAAATGTAGGAAATATATAGTAAACATATAATAAATATATAGGAAATATATAGTAAATAAATAATAAATATATAGGAAATAGAAGAAATACGTAACAAATAGATAAGAAATAAATACATAAGAAATACATAAGAAATACATAAGAAATACATAAGAAATACATAAGAAATACATAAGAAATACATAAGAAATACATAAGAAATCTAAATAAACAATAAATATATAATAAATACATACTAAATACATAATAAATATAAATAGACAGTCAATATAAATGTATAAAATACATATATACAAATAGAAAAATACAGAAATATAGAAAAACAGAAATAGAGAATAAAGAAATATAGAAATACAAAAATAGAGAAGTATACAAATATAGAAATACAAATAAAGAAATATGGAAATACAGAAATAGAAATACAGATATACAAAAGTATAGAAATAGAAGTATACAAATACAGAAATACAGAAATATAGAAACACTGAAATACAGAAATATAGAATTACAGAAATATAGAAGTATAGAAACACAAAAGTATAGAAACATAGAAATACAGAAATTTAGAAATTTAGAAATATAGAGGCATAGAAGTACAGAAATACAGAAATATAGAAGTATAGAAATACAGGAATATAGAAATACAGAGACATAGAAATATAAAAGTATAGAAATATAGAAATAGAATTGAAAGTTTAGAGAACTTTAAAAGCCAGGACTTACAACAACTTTTTTAAGTAAATCAGCCAGGTCTTCCAAAACATTGCGCTCACACATGGCCTCAACGCTCCAGCTCGAGAACGACATCCTGCCCA